TTTTTTTGAAGTAGGCTAGCATCTGGAGGAGCTGGACCAGGGCTTTGCTTGAATTGCAACTTCCTGTCCCCCGCCACAATTTTCCTTTTCTTTTTTTAGTGAAGTACAACACATGCACTCATCTTGACTGTGACTGTGTATCTCGTTAAGTCTTTCTTTTCATTTGAGAGACAGACAGACACATCCACTGGTTCATTCCCCAAATGCCCTCAATAGCCAAGCCGGGAACCAGAAATTCCATCCAGGTCTTCCACATGAGTGGCAGAGACCCAACTAGTTGAGCCATCACCTGATGCCTCTCAGGTCTGTCTTCACAGGAAGCTGGAATTGGGAGCAAAGCCAGGTCTCGCAGGCACGTGATATGGAACATGTACATCTTAGCTTTTGGACCAAATGCCTGCCCCACTTACTGAGTGTTTACGTAAATCTGCAGGGTTGGACACTGTGGTGCAGTGTGTTAAGTTTCCTCTCGGGACACCCACATTGTAATACCTGGGATTGAGTTCCAGCTCTGTTTCTGATCCAGGTTTCTGCTATTGCACACATTGGGAGTCAGTAGATGATGGTTCAAGTAGTAACTTGGGTTCCTGCCACCCACATGGATGACCCAGATGGAGTTCCTGGCTGCTGTCATTGACCTGGGGCCCAGGCCCAGCTGTTGTAGGCATCTGGGGAGTAAACCAGAGGTTGGACGATCTCTCTCACTCAGACACTTGATCTCTTGCTCCCTGCCTTTCAAATAAACAGAAATAAATAAATAAACTTAAAAAAAAATCTATACCTGTATAATTACTACCTGGTCACCCAGAAGTCTCTGACCGCTCCAAAGGCAACCACTGTTGTGACATCTGTCATCATCATTTGTTTTTGTGATGCTTAAACTTCCTGCAAATGGAGTCAGGCTGTATATGCTATTGTTGCATTTGGTTTCTTTCACTTAACATAGTGCTGGTGAGATCCATCCATTTATTAGTGCATCAGTCACTTGTTTTTCTAGTAGCTGTGTAGTTTCTATTGTATACGATACCACTACTTGACTTAGACTGTTGAAGCACATGGGGGTGTTCTAGTTTGGCGCTGTTGTCAGTAAAGGTCCTGTGAACATTTGTTTGATGGCTCTGTGTGCTCACATCTCCTGGCTGTGAATCTGGGGTATGAGTGCTGAAGCACAGGGTATAGATACTTACCTCCAGAAGATACCACCTGTCTCCATGGTGGTTGTACCAGTTCACGGTGCCACCCACAGGTCACGAGGCTCTAGTTCCTGCACAGGCTCACCAACACCTGCTATTTTATTTTTTCTTTCCCAAGCCATTCTCACGGGAGACTGTAGTTATACCCTTAAATTTAAATGATGCAGGAGCTGGTGCTGTGGCGAAAAGCCACTGCCTGAAGCACCGGCATCCCATATGGGTGCCAGTTTGAGTCCCACTGCTCCACTTCTGATCCAGCTCTCTGTTGTGGCCTGGGAGAGCAGTAGAAAATGGTCCAAGTCCTTGGGCCCCTGCACCCACGTGGGAGACCCCCAAGAAGCTTCTGGCTCCTGGCTTTGGATTGGCTCAGCTCTGGCCAATTGGGGAGTGAGCCAGCGGATGGAAGACTCTCTCTCTCTGTGCCTCTCCTTCTCTTTCTGTGTAACTCTGACTTTCAAATAAATAAATAAATAAATATTTTTTAAAAATTTAAATGATACAAAAGGAGGGACCAGCGGCGTGGCGTAGTAGGCTAGGACTCTGCCTGCAGCACCAGCATCCCACATGGGCACCAATTGAGTCCCGGCTGCTCCACTCCCATCCAGCTCCCTGCTGATGGCCTTGAAGGGCAGCAGAGCATGGCTCAAGTGCTTGGGCCCCTGCACCCACGTGGGAGACTCAGAGGAAGCTCCTGGCTCCTGGCTTCGGATCAGCTCAGCTCCAACCATTGTAGCCATTTGGAGAGTGAACCAGCCGATGGAAGACCTCTCTATCTCTCCTCTCTGTCTGTAACTCTGCCTGTAAAATAAACAAATAAATAAATCTTTAAAAGATTTTAAAGATACAAAAATATAAAACTGTGCAAATATTTAAACTTCTCTCAGTACATTACCCTGAGGCAATGGGACAGGTCAGAGCAGGACCTCCTGGGCCTTTGTCAGATGGTGGGCAGTGGCTTCCCACTTCATGTCTGAGGCCCTCTTCGTATATACTTAATAGAGGGATACTAGTGATGGCTCTGAGTATCTGCCTGTCTCCAGCCTTCTGGCCCTGTCCCTGATCCTCATTAGTATTCTTTAGTGAAGACTGTGTCCTTTTGTGTTTCTATAAGAGCACACTTGATGCTCATTATGCTATAAAGAGATGAGCTCTCTGGTGGCTGCCAAGTGCAGGCGTGGTGCTGGTGTCAGGTGGTGCCAGTGTCTGGATGCAGAGCAGCGGGAAGAGAACTGGCGGCGCACAGAAGGGGTGCATGAGTGAGCAAGGAAGCAGCAGAGCAGGATAGGGCCTTGCCTTGCTGTCTCACAACACACTCCCATGGGGGGAAATCCTCTCCTGTGAGACCAGCATTAATCCCTTCACAAGACTGGTCAGGACTGGATCGCCTCCCACCAGGCCCCTCCTACTTACTTATTTACTTACTTATTTGAAAGAATTACACAGAGAGGTCTGCCCTCTGCTGGTTCACCTCCCAATGACTGCAATGGCGGGGGTGGGGCTGGCCCAGCCTGGAGCCAGGAGCTTCATTCATATCTCCCACATGGGTGCAGGGGCCCAAACACTTGGGCCGTTTTCTGACGCTTTCCCAGGTGCATTAGCAGGGAGCTGAATGGGAAGGAGAGCAGCAGGGACTCGAACCAGCACCCATATGGTATGCTGCCGCTCCAGATGGTAGCTTAACCCATTATGCCACAGCACTGGCCCCCTAGCCCCACCTCTTAAAGGTCCCATCACCTTTCATTACCATTACACTGGGGACCAAGTTTCCAGCATATGCACCATTGAGGGACAAACCAGATCCAAACATAACAAAGACTTAACTGTGGTTGAGAGGGTTCCTTTGTGCTGGAATGTGATTTGTCTGGGCCAGGGGTGTGAGCTCATTTCGGGGTCCTTCTTCTTAGACTTCAGTGTCTTTCAACACTTTTTATCCTACCCCTCTCATGGCAGGGAAGAAAGCACATGCGTACCCCCCACCCCTTACCCCCACCACACACACACACACACACACACACACACGTGGACAGGTTCTGCTTCCTTTCTGTCTTCCACTGACATTGTGTTTTCAGCCTCCAAGGAAGTTCCTGGGGCCAGCATGGTGGTGTAGAGGTTAAGTCTTAGCCTGCAAGCACCAGTTCAAGTCCTGGCTGCTCCACTTCCCATCCAGCTCCCTGCTAAAGCACCTGGGAAGGCAGCTGAAGATGGCCCACACACTTGGGCCCCTGCCACTCATGTGGTATACCTGGTTGTAGATCCTGGCTCCTGGCTTTGGCCTGGCCCAGTCCTGACCATCGTGGCCGTTTGGGGGGTGAACCAATGAATGGAAGACCTCTCTCATCTCTCTCCTTCTCTGTGTGTCTTTCCCTCTCTTTGTATCACTCTGCCTTTCAAATACAAATAAATTTTTAGAAAAATTTTTTTAAAAGTTTGTTCCTTTCCTATCTTTGAGCAGGTCTTAAACAGAGCTCTCTGTATGACTTGATATGCAGTGTGCTTGATGGTAGATACTAGGATTGTGTCTCCTCTTTCCTCCTCACATGCATCATTAGGCCATTTTTATTGTTGAATTTTTGTGTGCATTGCCTTACCCTGTCTTCTGTGTGTCTTACAGTTCCCTTTTCATCAGCTCCTATTCCTTCTCCTTCCCCCTCCCCCAAATACACACCAGGAAAGCAGAATTTTTTACTCATTACAGGGGTCCTCACTTATCCACAGTTTCACTGTCCACCATTCCAGTTACCTGCGGTCAGCCATGGTCCAAAAACATTCAGTGGGAAATTTCAGAAATAAACAGTTCCCAAATTTTAAACCCCACATTGTTCTGAATAGTGCAGTGAAATCTCATCCTGTCCAACCCTGTCCCATCTGGGGTAAATCACCCCTGTGTCCAGTGTATCCGTGCTGTATATGCTACCCACTCATTAGTCACTTAGTAGCCATCTTGGTTACCAGATTGTTGAGGTATCCTAGTATTTGTGTACAGTGGCCCTAACATAGCACAATGCCTACATCATTCACTTCACTTCTCCTCATGCAGGTGTTGTATTAGCTCAACGCATCCCAAGAAGAAGGGTGAGGGCGGTAAGATATTTTGAGAGGGAAAGAGACCACATTTGCCTGGTTGTATTGTTATGATTGTTCTAATTTATCATTGTTGATCTTTTACCGTGCCTAACTTATCAATTAGACTTTATCACCAGTGTCTACATGGTATATGCAAGGTTCAGTGTATCTGATTTCAGGCACCCACCAGGGTCTTGGAACATACCCTCGGTGGATACGGGGGTGATGGCTGTATTGGAAGTGTGTGCTATTGAGTACCATTCACCCTAATCTCACAACAGTCTTTGAAATAGCGAAGGACAATTGTATTCTGATCCAGAAATGACATGTTTGCCTAGGCTACAGATAGAGAGAGGGAGATACAGAGAGAAAGGTCTTCCATCTGCTTGTTCACTCCGCAGATGGCCGCAAAAGGCCAATCTAAAGGCAGAAGCCAGGAGCTGCTTCTGGGTTTCCCACTTGGGTGCAGGAGACCAAGCACTTGGTCCATCCTCCACTGCCCTCCCATGCCATCAGCAGGGAATTGGGTTGGAAGTGGAGCAGCCAGGAGTCGAACCAGTGTCCATATGGGATGCCGGTGCTGCAGGTGGAAACTTAGCCTACTATGTACGCCACAGCACCAACCACCAGTGTCCAGTCTTTTAGTTGCTGGGCACAGGGTGTGCAGCGATGCTTGGCTGGTTTGCAGCATTCCTAGCTGGAAACCTGTCTCTTTATCTCTCTTTCCTTCTAATCTCTCTGTAGCTCAAGAGAGCCAGCAGCGAGGACATGCTCAACAAGCCAGGAGGCTCGGCTGCGTGCGGGGCGACTCGACTGAAGAAGACCGCCACGTCGGGGGCCATCTCGGAGCTCGCCGAGAGCCGCCTGCGCAGCGCTCCAGGTAGGAACGCGTGGGCCGTGGGAAGGCACCGCCGCCACGCGCTCTTCCCGCATTTACCCTGGGCCAGGGACGGTTGGAGGCAGACTCAGCCCCTGGCAGCTGAGAAACAAACACAAAAAGCTAAGGAGGAGGGCCGGCACCGCGGCTCCCTAGGCTAATCCTCCGCCTTGCGGCGCCGGCACACCGGGTTCTAGTCCCTGTTGGGGCGCCGGATTCTGTCCCGGTTGCCCCTCTTCCAGGCCAGCTCTCTGCTGTGGCCAGGGAGTGCAGTGGAGGATGGCCCAAGTGCCTGGGCCCTGCACCCCATGGGAGACCAGGAGAAGCACCTGGCTCCTGCCATCGGATCAGCACGGTGCGTCGGCCATAGCGCGCCGGCCTCAGCGCGCCGGCCGCGGCGGCCATTGGAGGGTGAACCAACGGCAAAGAAAGACCTTTCTCTCTGTCTCTCTCTCTCACTGTCCACTCTGCCTGTCAAAAAAAAAAAAAAAAAAAAAAAAAAAAAAAAGCTAAGGAGGACCATTTAGCGCCTCTCCCTGGTGGGAAAGCTCAGGCAAGGCGTGTGTGCTCGGGTATGTTCTGGGTCACCTTGGTGTGGAATGTGCTGGACAAATGAGAGAACCCTGGGGATCCCTTGCAGAAGTGAGGGTGTACAGTTCGTCCTGACTCCTGTGGGAAACAGGAAAAGCTTCCCTGATCCCAGGGTCGCTGAGATGGCGTTGGCAGCTGAGACCTGTGCGCTTCCTCACTGCTGCTAGGGTTTTGAGAACCAGGAAAGGGCTTTCTAACCATTATGTTTGAGCCCAGGAAGCATAAAATAGCAAATAATTAATTTAAAAAAAAAAGATCTACTGTATTTATTTGAAAGGACAATTATAGAAAAAGAGAAACAGAGAGAAATCTTCCACCTGCTGGTTTGCTCCCCAGGTGGCTGCAATGGCCAGGGCTGGGCCAGACTGAAGCCAGGAGCCTAATAGGTGTTGATGTATTGTATACTAATGATTTTTGTACTGGTTTCCTAAACAATCAGGCTTCAGAATAGCCTTCCAAAGATACATTTTAATTTATTCAGTTTTTCAGAAAGTTAAATCTGTAGCTATAAGTGGCTACATATGGCAGCATATTTCTTTATTAATGGTTTTACTGTTTTTTTTTTAAAGATTTATTTATTTATTTGAGAGGCAGAGTTACAGATAGAGAGAGGGAGAGACAGTGAGAGAGATCTGGTTCACTCCCTACATGGCTGCAATGGCCGGAGCTATGCTGATCTGAAGCCAGGAGCCAGGAGCTTCTTCCAGGTCTCCCACGTGGGTGCAGGGGCCCAAGGACTTGGACCATCTTCTACTGTTTTCCCAGGCCATAGCAGAGAGCTGGATCAGAAGAGGAGTAGCCGGGACTAGAACCAGCGCTCATATGGGATTCCAGTGCTTCAGGCCAGGACTTTAACCTGCTGTGCCACAGTGCTGGCCCAACTCTGCCTTTTGAATAAATAAATAAATTGTTCTTTTAAAAAAGACTAGTTTCATACTAAATACACAAAAAGAAAACAAATCAAAAAGTACAATTTAATTTTACCTAGCCAGTCTAACACTCCAAAAGTTAGTAATGCACCGCTAAGAAAATGACAGAAGTGGTGGGCATTGTGGTACAGCAGGTTCAGCTGCTTGCTTGGGACACCAGCATCCCACCCCCACTTCCTATCCAGCTTCGAATTCTGCTAATGTGCACCCTGGGAGGCAGCAGGTGATGGCTCAAGTAGTTGGTCCCCTGCAACCCACATGGGAGACCCGGATGGAGTTCCTGGCTCCTGGCTTTTGACCTGGCCCGGCCCTAGTCCTTGTTAACATTTGGGGAGTGGACCAGTGGATAGAAGGTATCTCTCTCACTCCCTCTCTGTGTATCTCTGTCACTCTTTCAAATAAAATAGAAATGAATAAACAGATTTTTTTAAAAAATCACACACTGCTTTTACTTTCAAATATTGATACAAAAATGTGAGATCAAAATATTAACAAATGGAATTCAATCATAACCAAGTGGATTTATGCTACTCAAGAACTGATGAATATTAGGAAATCTGGGAATATAATCTATCATGTACTATTTTTTAAAAGGTTTATTTATTTATTTGAAAGGCAGAACTACAGAGAGGCAGAGAGAGGGAGAGAGAGAGAAAAAGAGAGAGAGAGAGTGAGAGGTATCTTCCATCCATTGGTTCACTCAGCTCAATGGCCAGAGTTGAGCCAATCCGAAGCCAGGAGCTTCTTCTGGGTCTCCCACGCAGGTGCAGGGGCCCAAGGACTTGGACCATCTTCTACTGCTTTCCCAGGCCATAGCAGAGAGCTGGATTGGAAGTGGAACAGCTGGGACTTGAACTGGTGCCCATATGGGATGCCGGCACTGCAGGCAGTGGCTTTGCTCACTGTGCCACAGCGCTGGCCCTCTATCATATGCTATTAATAAACCAAAGAAAATCACGTGTTCATTTTGATAGGTACAGAAGATGCATTTGACACAAATTAGCAGACTTTCTGATTTACCAACAAACTCTTCTTGATAGACTATAAAAGCATCAACACTTCTTTGATGGTAGAAAATATGTGTATCTCAAATCAAAGATAGCGTTATGCTTAATGGTTACATCCTAAGAGTATTCTCATTGAAATCAAGAATGGTTTAAGTCTGAGTTAAACTTCCACCTGTGAGGCCGGTGTCACATATGGGTGCCAGTTCGAGTCCCAGCTGCTCCACTTCCAATCCAGCTCTCTGCTATTGCACCTGGGAAAGCAACAGAAGATGGCCCAAGTGCTTGGACCCCTGCCACCCACATGTGAGACCCGGAAGAAGCTCCTGACTCCTGACATCAGCTCAGCCTTGCCTGTTGTGGCCATTTGGGGAGTGAACCAGCAGATGAAAGATCTCTCTCTCCTTCTCTGTCCCTCCCTCTCTCTGAAATTCTTTCAAATAAATAAATAAATCCTTTTTAAAAGAACAGTGACTTAGGTGGCCTACTGTCTTGTGCTACAGTCATCTAAATTTTTTTCAAGTATTAGCCAAGTCCATGAGACAAGAGAGATACAGAAGCATATAAATACTAGAAATGAGGAAACACAATGATGATTGTATGCAGGTAGTAACATTGTATGTCTCAAATGTCCTAAAATTTGTATCGTTATAAAGAATGTAGAATGTCCTAAAAATCTATTATGGACAAGAAAAGTTTGGCGTGTGGCTAGCTATAAAATATAAAATATTAATAGCTTTCTTATCACTGACTGGTATGAAACAGTCTCATTTATAAAGGAATGAAAAAGGCAAGATACCCAGGAATAAACTTAATAATCCAAGATACTATATTACGAAGAAAAAAATCTTAAAACACTTTTAAAAGGCAGATCTTATGTCCTCTACAGTAGACATAAACAAATGGAAGGACATACATCATCCTTGGATAGAAAGACTAAATAAAGATAGAATTTAAAAGCATAACGTTAAATGTAATGAAGATGTCTAAATTGTCCTATGAGTTCATTTGTATCCAAGCTATAAAACAGGTGGGAATTTTGGAATGGACACATGGATGAAATGATACTGTTTATCTAAGGCAGTGGTTCTCTGTGTGGTCACAGCTTGGCCCCATCCTCCAACCCGGCTAACAGTTGACAACACCTGCAGACTTTTCTGATTATCACAACTGGAAGCTGATACTGACCTCTAGTGGCCAGAGGCCGTCAGTGCTACTAAACATCTTCTGCACACAATACCATTCCCCAGTTACCTGAGCCAAAATGTCAATAGTACGGTTATTAAAAAAGCCTTGGTGTAGAAAAACAAATATTCTAGAATTATCAGAAATGGTAATCAAGGGACTAACCTCAAACATCTGGGAATCGTGGTAGAACTAGGCAGCTCACTGGAACAGTGGAGAAAATCCAGAATACATCGGCAGATTTGGTGTCCAGTAAAGGTGTTGTTTCACCTCAAAATGGAGAAATCACTCAAAAATAATAACTGAATAAGTTCTTTAGGAAAAAATAAGGATGAGTTTCTGTCTCATTCCTCTCATCAAAAGAAATTCCGGGGGCAGGTGTTCAGCCTGGCAGCTGATGGTGATGAAGACGCCTGCATCTGGGGCTGCATTGTGCTGTAGTGGGTTAAACCACTGCCTGATGTCCTGGCTTCTGAGGCCATCTGGGGAGTGAGCCAGCGGATGGAAGAGTGAGGTCTCTCTCTCTCTCTCTCTCTCTCTACCCCCCCCCCCACCGTCCCAACTCTGCCTTTAAAAAATATATATATATGGGATGCCTGCATCCCATATCAGTGTATGTGTGTTTGAGTTCTTGCTCCAGCTCTTGACCCCAGCCTTCTGCTAATGCAGACGTTGGGAGGCAGTGGTGATGGCTCAAGTAGTTGAGGTCTTGCCACCCAATGTGGGAGACCTGGATTGAGTTCCTGCCTCCTGGTTTTGGTCCTGGCCCAGCCCCAGCTCTTGTAGGCACTTAGGGAGTAAACCAGTGGATGAGAGCACTAGCTGCCACTCAAATAAATAAAAATAATTAACTTTATTAAGATTTACTTTTTTAAGGTATTTGAAATGCAGTATGACAGGAGGTGGGAGAGGCAGAGAAAGAAATCTATCCACTGGTTCACTCCCCAAATGACCACAACATCTTGGACTGGGCCAGGCCAAAGCCAGGAGCCTGTAACCCCATCCTGGTCTCCCATGTTGGTGACAGGGTCCCAAGAATGGGACATCTGTTGCTGCTTTCTCAGGCATGTTAACAGAGAGCTAGATTGGAAGCAGAGCAGCTGGAACCCACACTAGCACTCTGTTACTGGTGTTGCAAGCAACAGCGTATCCTGCTGTTGTGCTACAATCTTGTGGTACAAGGCTCACTTCCCATAAATAAAATTTTTTAAAGAATTAGCTTGGGGCCAGAGTTGTGAGATAGTGGGTAAAGCTACCACCTGCAGTGCCAGCATCCAATATGGGTGCAGGTTTG